TTTTTATTGCCAAATAATATTCCATTGTATGGATATACCATATTTTTTTTATCCATTTATCAGTTGATGGATATTTGGTTGTTTCTACTATTTGGCTATTATGAATAATGCAGCTATGAATATTTGTGTACAGGTTTTTGTGTGGACATATGTTTTCAATTCTCTCGGATATATATGCCTAGGAGTGGAATTGCTGGGTCATATGCTTAACATTTTGCTTAACTCTATACTTAACATTTTGAGGAACTTCCAGACTGCTTTCTCCATATCCTGGTCAACACTCGTTATTGTATTATTTATTTTAGCCAACCTAGTGGGTGTGAAATGCCATCTCATTGTGGTTTTCATTTGCATCCATGGCAACTAACAACGACAACAATGATTAATAACGTTGAACATCTTTTCTTGTGATTATTGGCCATTTGTACATCTTCTTTGGAAAAATGTCTGTTCAAATCCTTTGCCCATTTTTTGAGTTCTCTGTCTTTTTATTGTTGAGTTGTAAAAGTTCTTTATATATATATTTTGGATACAAGTCTCTTATCAGATATATGATTAGCAAATATTTTCTCCCATTCTGTGAGTTGTCTTTTTACTTTGTTGTTGAGAATATACACAGTAGAACATATACTGAAGAGGACTTCCTGCTGCCCACCAAACTCAGAAGAGGACCAGGCAACCACTTCTCTATCACCTCCATCAAGATCAGATTTTCAGTTGCTTTCAGTAGCTCTCTTAGTTGATTGGGGAAAATAAATCCAAACAACTCTACCTCAAATTTTCATCATCTCTACATATCTAAATTTCTACATGATATCTTTTTACTTTCTTGATAGTACTGTTTACAGCACAGAAGTTTTAAATTTTTATGTAGTCCAATTTATATATTTTTTCTTTTGTCATTTGTGTTTTTGATGTTGCAACTAAGAAACTACTGTCTAACCCAAGGTCACAAAGATTTACTCCTATGCTTTCTTCTGAAAGTTTTGTAGTTTCAGCCCTTACACTTAGGTCTATGATCCCACACAGTCTTCTAAGAGTCTTATCTATTTGGTAGTGCTTTCCCAGGGAAATATTTATGGCACCATCAAAAAAACAAACTAACTATTGTGTTTAATACAAAATATGCAATCTGTACTCTTAGCATTCTGATCTAGGCTGAGAACAATATTTGAAATGAGCCAGTGCTCTCTTTGTAGGACAAATAAATGCTTTCATAAGGATGTTACTTTTGAATGGAGTGTAGTTTGTGGCCTATTTACTTATGAACCAGTTCAAACAACTTGCTTCCATAGTGTGAGGGAAGGAAGGAAGACTACTGTGAAAATCAGGAAAAAAAATCCAATCACTACTTCTATCTAAACAAGGGAGCTTAGAGTTTTCTGTGGCTTTCAAAAACTACTTTCTCTTTGATTGAGGAAGATGAATAAAAATTGTTTTTTTAATGTCTGTAACCTTGAAATATTTAATGTAAATATAATAGTCCTTTTATTTATATTTTTCCTCTAAAGCTAAGGGGAAGATGGCATAATGTAAATAAAACAAGTATCGTCTTAACATGCGGTTTTGGAGGTCCCCATGACCACCCACATGTTCGGTGATTCACTAAAAGGACTCAGGAGGTTCAGCATATAGCTGTATTCAAAGCTTAGGTTTCTTACAGTGAAAGGATATACAACAGGACCAGCAAGGAAAAAAGACACAGGCAGAGTCCAGAGAAATCCATGCACATGCTTCCTATGCTCTCTCCCACCCATCCCAGGAGGCAACATATTGAACATGTTCCTTTCTAAAGCAGCAAAAATGCAGCCACACAAGTACAACACTTCTACCCAGGGAAGACCGTTAAGAGATCCACACCAAGGTTTTTATTGGGGGCTGGTCACTGTAGGCATCCTCTGCCTAGCAACTACCAAAATTCCAGATGCCCAGAAGGAAAGGTTTTGGCCATAATCACATTGTTTGCATGATCTATGTAATCTGATACAGCAGGTTTGGTGCTCCAGCCTTATCAGCATAGGGAACCTTTTAGAAGCTGAGTTTTCTAAGGACCAACCCTGTAAGCAGGTCTTTCTGAAGGCAGCTGTCTCAGGTCTGCTGTGTCAAGTACTTTGTGTACACAGAGGCCATGCCACTCACTTAAGTTCTAATTTTCAGTTTACTTAAGCAAACACTCAAATTAAGTATATATTAATATTCTGAATTTATAATAATTTCAGTGAGTTGAAGTTTATCTTTCCTATGAATAAAAAATGTCATGTTTTCTATACTAAATATTGTATGGCAGCATGCATAAGCTACTTAAGAGATATTTAAAGGACAGTGGCATACCATATTCTGCAAACTGATATTAATTCTAAATTAAACATATTAATTACAGCAGGGCCTGCAGGATCTCAACAAATACTACTCTTAGCCAGATGTTCAATTCCTATTCATACTTGAAAGAAATGAGACATTAAATGTTTTCTATATAAAATAACATTAATGAATAAGCTAGAGAAATACATCAAGGGTGCCCCGAAAGCCCAACCCTGGGCTAGCCCCATGGGACTTGCTGGGGACAGAGATGTTGCAAGGAAAAACCAGTGATCACACATGGAGAGCACAAGTCAGGTCCTAACTCAGTAAATCATCCATCCAAAGCCAATGTCCCTTGTTTGACCAGGCTTGTTTCCTTGGACGACTCTCCTTCCTTACCTAAAAACGTCAGTATACACAAAAAATGCCCATGGAAGCAGCTGTCAAGAAATCAAACAACATATTGCATTGGGCAAATCTGCTGCAAAAGATCTCTTTAAAAGTGTTGGAAAGCAAAGATGTCACTCTGAAGTCTAGGGTGCACCTGACCCAAGCCATGTGTTTTCAATCACCTCATATGCATGTGAAAGCTGGACAATGAATAAAGAAGCAAGGATGGCGAGACTTCATCTCATGTACTTTGGACATGTTATCAGGAGGGATCAGTCCCTGGAGAAGGACATCATGCTTGGTAAAGTAGAGGGTCAGTGAAAAAGAGGAAGACCCTCAATGAGATGGGTTGACACAATGCCTGCAACAATGGGCTCAAGCATAACAACGATTGCTGAGCATGGCACAGGACTGGGCAGTGTTTCATTGTGTTGTACACAGGGTTGCTATGAGTTGGAACTGACTCGATGGCACCTAACAACAACAACAACAACAACAACACAAAAAAAATGCAAAACCATTGTTCGTGTTTTAAACAAGTATCTTTGGATGCTTCTTTACACGAGACCCATATACAAAGCCACTATCTATCAGAGATATTTAATTTGTATATTATGACACTGCCTTGTAATTATTCTGATTGTTTCATGCACTTGTTCTGTCTTTGAATCTCAACTGTAAACTGTATTTCTCCTCCCTGCCCACTATAACAGAATATCTAGCTTAACAAATCTAAGAGGGAAGTCACAGAGATTCAAGGCTGTTAGAGAGCACCTACCCCAAGCTCCATAGTTTTTCACTCAGTTTTTAGACTTGAAAATCATGAACACAGGATGTACGCTCTGAAGTCAGTGGCAATCAAACAAATCAAACACCCACAGGTATCCTCCAAGGGCTCTGACTGAAAGAGAAGCTTAATGCAATTTCGAACTGGAAAGACTTCACTCCGCACACATTTTGCAATGTACAAGACAGCACATTGAGTTGGCACTGTGGGAACACTAAGGAGAAAAAAAAAAACTTGCCCTGGCCTCAGGGAGATTATAGTCTACTAGAGGAGATTAGGTGTCAACTAACAAGGGTACAACACACATAAAGCCATAAGAAATTCAGAAATTAATCTAGGCGTTCAGAGAGAAAAGGTTTTCATGTCTGGAAATTTAGTTCCTCAGAAAGTTAAGAGCAATGGTGAACTCGATAGGAGCATAAGTAAGTTTAAAAGGTTTCAAAAGTATACAAGCTTCTCCTAAATCTCATATCCTGTCTAGAAATGAGTAAGCACAGAAGGTGCCCAAGGCGAAAACAGCAATCACACAAAGAAATCTACTAGTAATAACTTAAGCATGTTTAAGCCAGCAGGACCACAAAGAGTCAGCCAGTAACAAAGTGAGGAGTAGAAAATTATGCCACGTTTACTTGATGCAATAGAGAGGAAGTACAGAAAGGAGACATACTTTCCTCCCCACCCTCACAAACAGGAGGCAAGCGTGGTGTATGAATATGAAGCAGGAAAGGTCTGGAAGCCCCACTGCACCTTCAAGGCTCTGAGCATCAGCAAAGTTACCAATACAATACACTAAGCGGTCTTTGCTTTTCCTCACAAAAGACTTGACTTCAATCGCTGGAAACACACCCTGAAACAGATCACAGTCTCCCTTTTAAGCAACGTTATAACTGGGGGTTGCATTCCTGATGAAGGATTCAGAAAACGAATCAGCAATATGACTGACAAAATGCCACAGACACAAAGACACACTATAAAACTTGCAGAAATGCAACCTATGCATTAATTACAGGAAGGGCCCCAGTGGACACAGGGAGCTAAAGCTCATAAGGTAAACATGAGAGTTTTAATATTAACTTCCTTGCTTTTCTTATAATTTGTTCTTTATTTGTACCTGTCTCAATGTTATAAAGCAACAGGGTTTAATGAGTCAAACAGTTCTGCCAAGTCTGTTACAAAAAGACAGGAGTCCCATTGTCTCCTCTCCCCATCCTTTCCTTGTGTGCTAAAGCCATCTTAAAAATCCCTTCCCCTTGTCCTCCTGAGGTTTCAAGAGAAAGTAATATCTGTAGTCTGACACCATCTTTACCTGGAGGCCATTTTCTTATAATTTAGAAGGGATAGGGAAAATAAATTAGATGGCTGATAGTTAAAAGCTGCCATTTTCCCTATAGTGAACAAAGCATTTAAAAAAACATTCCTTCGACCACACTCAAATTTGGGGTCGCTCCTAACAAAAATCCCAGTATTGCATCATCTAAGGACTCACCATGACTTCACTTCTGAATCTTGTACTTTCCTCCATCTTTGCCTTTTACTTTTTCTTCCACCTGTCCTCTACGCTCTCAACAAGGCAGCATGGAAGCGGGAGTCTTACATGGTGTACCTGAGAGAAGAAGACTGTTTACGGACTTACTATATGGATACTGAGGCTTAAGACTATTTTACAGTTGTGGGGATGCAGGGAGAAGAGTCACTATTCTTTTGCCTTCCAGAGTCACAGCTGAAGTCCAGCAACTAAATTCTACAGTTGACTAAGATAAAGGCCCCTAAATGTGAAATACAGGTGACAACTTATTCAGTATTGCTAAAGGAACAACATGTGAAGGAGTGAAATGCCTGCTTATGAAAACAAACTTTTTCTCCACCCAGAAATTTCCTTGGCTATCACTTCATACACATAAACACGCCTGAACTTTGGTCAGGTCGCGAGTTTGACCTAATTGTACCTTTACTGCTATGTGCTGGCTAATTATTGGCTTGAAACTTGAACATATCATAAGGGAAACAAAACATCAGAGTTACAGGGTGAAAACCAGAAACTCAAGGAAGTTTCTTTCCAGTCGTGGTGAACTAAGTCATTATTTCAAATGTTTACCTTTGAATTAAAATTGAGCCTTGAATGAGAGTTTAGCCTCACAAATACATTGCTGGTCCTCCTGACAGTGGTTTTTAAAATAGACTGGGTACACTGAACTAAAAAGTAAAAACATTTACACTCACGGTGTATCACTCAGCTCATACAACAAGCTTGAATACTTCTGGAAAACTGTTCTCTAAATATTAGGCCTTTCCCAAAAGATGAATGCAAAGTACATTCATTCAGATAGGACAATAAGGAGAACATAATCCCTGTCTTTTTTGGCTAAATTCAAGGAGTCTGAATTACCTCTTAACAGAAATAAAAATCAGTAATACTCACTAAAAAAACAAACAAACAAAAACAAAACTGTTGCCGTCAAGTTGATTCCGACTCATATTGACCCTATAGGACACAGTAAAACTGCCCCCACAGGATTTCCAAGGTCGCAATCTTTATGGAAGCAGACTGACACATCTTTCTTCTGTGGAGTGGCTGGTGGGATCGAACCACTGACCTTTCTTTCAGTTAGCAGCCCAGTGCTTAACCACTGCGTCACCAGGGCTCCTCAATACTCACTATACAGCCTCATTTTAATTGTCATTGATTTGCTATCTAACCTTGAGCAAGTCACATTTTTCCATCTTTATATGTGAACACAGGCATTTTGCCTACATTCTGAATTTTCTTTAGACCATCTGGATATAATGTGATTGATTCATGAGGGAAAGTGCTTTGCATTATATGGGCCACTACTAGGCCAGGATCCAGCATTGCATTCACGACAATAACTGCTGACCCAGTGGCCTGGGTATGTGCTATTCCACTGCCTGGGTAAGCAGTCCCTCAGCTGGCTCCGGGTTCTTCTATCTACTGGGAGTTATCAACTATGCCACAATTTGCTTTGATTTTGTCCCAAGGAGTGATAAAGGTGATATTATTGATGAAGACATTCTTTAGTGTTCCTGGTCTTTTTTTTTCATTGAAGTAATTACTTTTAAATCTTGATTTTTGACAAAGTAATCTTTCTTAAGAATCTAACTACTACATTATAGCAGAACAGATCACACCACATTTATCTTGCTCTGAATGGTGAATAATGATCCCTCCAAAGCCCTTTAAGTTTTTTAAAGTAGAGCTATGTTGATTAAGTTGCAAATAGCAAACTGGCTTGAAATTCATAGTTTTATTATAAAGAGAAAAGGTCATAAAGAAATGGAGTAAAATGTATAAAAGCAAGTAGAGAATACTACCCTGGGCAGAGAAAAACAGAATATAGATTTACTAAGATCAGGAATAAGCCAAGGGAGGAAGGATATAAAATAGCATTCTGAAAAGAAGAAAGAGCTAGAGAAGTGCAAGATTCTACAACATGCATGTTTTATATTCTCCCTACAGTTCAGGGCACATGGAAGGTATGCAAAAAGTGTTAAATATAAAAAGAAGGCAGCACTGAATACATACAACCATGAAAGGAAAAGATCTTTGGGCCACCACTCATAAATCAAAAATAGTTTAAGGGGCATTGAGTTCTTCTGGTTGGGAGGTGATTCCCCTGCTGTACTAAATACAGGTCACACTCTACCAGGATAGAAAGTATTGAAGTTGTCAAGGATTTCATTTTACTTGGATCCACAATCAACGCCCATGGAAACAGCAGTCAAGAAATTAAACGATGTATTGCATTGGGCAAATCTACTGCAAAAGAGCTCTTTAAAGTGTTAAAAAGCAAAGATGTCACTTCGAGGACTAAAGTACGCCTGACTCAAGCCATGGTATTTTCAATCACCTCATATGCATGTAAAAGCTGGACAGTGAATAAAGAAGACCAAAGAAGAATTGATGCCTTTGGATTATGGTCTTGGTGAAGAATATTGAATATACCATGGACTGCCAAAAGAATGAACAAATCTGTCTTGGAAGAAGTACAGCCAGAATGCTCCTTAGAAGCAAGCATGGCAAGACTTCGTCTCACATACTTTGGACACGTTATTAGGAGGGGTCACTTCCTGGAGAAAGACATAATGCTTGGTAGAGTGCCAGTGAAAAAGAGGAAGACCCTCCACGAGATGGACTGACACAGTGGCTGCAACAATGGGCTCAAGCATAACAACGATCATGAAGATGGCACAGGACTGGACAGTGTTTCGTTCTGTTGTACATAGGGTCGCTATGAGTCAGAACTGACTCAACGGCACCTGACAACACCACTATGAGGAGAGGACTCTGCGATGCCTACTTCCACCACCTCCATGAGGAGTTAAAAGGTTTTAAGGCAATGTTTCAGTATCGACTAAAAGGTTAAAAATGGAAAGTGATGCTTTACAGTTAGGAGGCACTCAAATACCTATTGATTAATGATGTCCAGAGCATGCTGAGGTGTAGGCCATTTCTTCTTAATCTTCTCTAAGATCAAGCAATCTCAAGACCAAGTAAACTCATAGAATCTCTACTTTCTGGAGGTGATGTTGGAAGACAAGCCAAATGGAAAAAACCTGAAATAATAATAGAGTATTGACAATGAAATGTTGTAATTTAGGCACTGCTTTGAAGTATTAGAATGACTTATACAATAACACAAAAGTATTTCAGCATGAAAGGAAATAAAACACTCTTGGGTGACGAGGAGGATTGTTCTAGGGACAAACTTGCTTCAACTCATTAATTCAGTAACAATGCCAGCACTATTTCTACCATTTTGACAATGTTAACTGTATTAACATTAATGTGTCCACATTCTATTTGTGTATTGCTATCTTACTGACTGCTATCAATTCTATAAGGTCAACAATTAGGAATTAAATTGAAGATACAAGAATACAAAGGAGATTTATAATTTCCAAATATGCTTAGAATTTGGAAATTCTGAACTCTTTTGCATACTGTTCCCTGCCATCCTTCCTGGTTGGCTGACAAGTTAAAAGAGGCTCCTGCTGTTCCCACCAGCACTGGGAATGCAGAGCTCAATGAGCTGTACGTTCAAGGGCCAAAAAGGAGGAGAATGCAAGGTGTATATACAGAGAACAAATGCACACAACCATATACCCATTCCTCCACTGGCAGAGGACATATACTACTTCATTATGAATCTCCCATTGGCATTTAAGTACCAGAAGATAAGAACAAACTAGGTGGGGAGGGCACACAATAAGGGATCACTGTCACTTTTTTTTTTTTTTGTATGCCTTCTAATCAGAGTCAGGCAAACTGTATTACTTACAAGTTTTGTTCCTTGCGCTGGTTATTGAAACATCATCTCTCAGCTCCAGAGCCACTCTTCTCTATTCTGTGTTGTGGGGCTTGGACTCTACAGATGGCCTTGCTCCTACAGACTGCCAGCTGACACTGCCCTAAGAAGAGTTATAGCTATTTTCTTACACACATACACACATACACACATACACACACACACACACACACACACACACACACACAAACCCCACATACACACACACATACCACACACACCCCACATACACACACACATACATGTATACACAGATAGTGACACCATGAACACAAACCATGCATATACACACACCACACACACGGACACAAGATATGCTTAAATGTTACTCAATAATATCAGAAAAGAAAGCAGAACAAGTTTTCTTTTAACTTGGAGTTTTAATTATGTACATAAATAGCAACATGAGAACAAGGAGTTCTAAGGCTTGTACATCATCTCTAGGTGAAAAGGTTCCAGATTAGTCCACTTATAATATGGCATCACCCATAATAAAGAAAGGTGTAGCTTTTCCTGAAGAAGAAAGCCAATCTACTACATTCGATACTGACTTCTCCACCATTTTTCTGGAGAAATACTGAATTACTGTATGGAGTTTCCAATGTTTTCCTATAACTAAAGGAAAGAAAAGAAAAAAATTAAACTGTGCCAGAAAAAAAACCTCTTTCACATTTTGAAAATTCTTTAAATAGAGAAACTATGTAAAATATTTACATTATCATAAGGATCATAATGAGCTAGAGAAAGCTGTGATTATTTCCATTTTACAGATGGGTAAACTAAAAATCAGAATGGTTTTGTGTTCCATCAATATTACATTCAGATTCTCAACCAGCTGTGTATCTGAGCATAATTAAGTAGACAGATGAATGAATAAATGAAAAACAAATGCCTAAATGGCATTAACATATACCACCTCCTTCACCCTCCAAAGAATAAACAACTACATTTCCATCCATCTGCTGGGAAGAGAGAATGATTATATCACTGTCAGTCTGATGTATACCTTTCCTCACATCACTCCCATCATTCTTTTCCGGAATGAAACACATATAAATACAAAGACACACCAAGGACAAACCAAATCTTCTTCAGATTACTTTTGTTCTAATATGTAATAAATATACCTAGCAATTAGAGGTTTATAAATTTTTTAGAGACCAGTGGCTATTTGCTTGATCTTTTAATATAAAACCAAAAATTCTTAAACATATAAACCACAAGCTTATTACCTTTTCTATCTCAGTTTCTTAATCTGTTCTAGACTTCTTAAGAATCTGGACTTCTTAAGAATTCAATAGATTTAACTGCATTTTTAAGAACTAAAAACTAGAAACAAGCTATATTAATAAGGATTAATTAGATCATGGTAGTCCATACTAGGAAATTACTAAGCAGCTAAAGAAGGAATGAAGTAGATCTATAAGTGTTGACAAGGAAAGATGTACACAATATACTAAGCAAAAAAAAAATAAGTTCACTCATTCATTCAACATATATTAACTAAACAAAGCACTATCTGTGAAATATTCTTGACAAACTGAACCTAAATCTGATTAAGCCTCAGATCCAACTATCACTTTATGGGAAATGCAGAGACGAGAGGAACCAAAAGTGAAACAGAATGACACTAAATGAATACACTCAGCTGCATGCAGAACGTGGGAAATTCTAAGGGACAAATAAGACAGGTTTTTCAACAAATAAATGGAAAGGAAAAAAGAGGGAGAGGGAACTGTTACAGTTTAAGAGAGATGTAAGAGACCAATTAGCCAAATGCAACAGGCAGATCTTGTTTGAATCCTGATTTAAACAAAGCACTATAAAAAGTTATTAATGAAACAATCAAGGAAATCTGAACACTGACTGGACACTAAATGACATGAAGGAATTACTGTTAATTTCTTTAGGTGTGATAATAAAATTGTGATTATGTGCCCTCATAGAGTTTTCACTGTACAGTACTTGCAGAACAATTATAAGGTATATGATCCCATTCTGTCCTAAGACCAAAAGCGTGTATGAATGCATAGAGAGAGAGAGAGAGGGAGAGGAAGAGAAGAGAAGGAAGGAGGGAAGGGGCGAAGGGAGAGAGAAAAAGAGAGAGAGAGACGGACCAACTGATAGACCGACAGACCAACCAACCAAACTATAAACATAAATTACCTCTGGGAAAGGAGTAGAGGGTAACACGAATTAAAAATTTTTTATTAACAAACATGCATCACTTTTATAATTAAAGAAAAGGTTTTTAAAAACAGTGAATTCATTTTTGTATGTATAGCAAGCTGAGCTCTGGTCCAGAATATTTTTGAAAAACAAAATGGGTATTTATGTAGTTTCACTTTATTCTCATTGTTCAATGTAGAGAAATATAATCATATTCAATGTAAAGTTTCCAGGGGACATGTGTGACTTTCTGTTGCTCACCCTGTAGTCTCCTTTCTCTGGTCCTACTCTCTAGAGATATTGATTCTAAGGTGGGGCCTAGGCCTCTGGATTTTAACAAGCCCCCTGGGTGATTCATTTGTATAATAAAATCTGAAAACTACTGACTTTGGGTTAGTATATGAAGGGCTGTAATGTGAAAGAGAAATTGGGTTTGTTTTTGTTTTCTCTGACTCCTAAAGCAGGATCGGGACCACTGCATAGGAGTTACAAGGAGACATAGCTTTGCTTGGTATTAAAAAACAAAACAAAACCCACTGCCAAGGTGTGAAGTGAGAGTTACGCTGGCTGTGGTGGTTAAGGTTATGTGTCAACTTGGCTGGGCCATGATTCTCAGTGGTTTGGCAGTTATGTAATGATGTAATTTGGCAGTTATATAATGATGTAATGTGGCGGTTATGTAATGATGTAGTCATTCTCCATTTTGTGATCTGATGTGGTCATCCTCCATTTTTACGTAACACCAATTTTCACATAACGACTTGGTCTTTGGAACCTAACCATTTCAATAAGTGAGGAGCAGGTATATAATTTTCTAATTACAAGGAAATCAAAAGTGCTATTATACAGTTTTTAATATATATGAGTACTCAATAAGTAAATATTGAACAAATGAAAATAAATGGTAAATTGTGTATAAGATCAGAAGAAATCTCACTGATTTTCTGACTTAATTTGATATCATCCTAAATTTCTCTAGTTTCAGGTTACTCAATCTTTAAAGAAGGAATAATTATACCTGAATTCCCTATGTCACTTAAGAGAATGTCTCTATATAATCTTGATCTCCTCTATACTAGTCACGCATTCAACAAACGTTTACTGAAAGACTATTTGATGAACAGAAGTGTGCTTACTAAATAAAGTGTTGTTTGAAAAAAATAAGCCTAAGAAATAATGGCACTTTTCAACTGTTTGAAAAAGACTAGATAAATCCCAACTGTCCAGTTCCAGCTTGTCTAAAAAAATCCAGGTAATTTTCTGGAACAAACACAGTAAAGTCAGTCATGGTACTTAAGCCTAGAAATTAAAGATAAAATAAAATATTATCCCAACCTTTATGTTTCTACAACAACTTGAAACTGCTATAATTAAGTTACAGTAAAGACAAGCCATTTCAAGCTGGCACTAACAATGTTGAAAATAACCATAGAGTTTTCTTGTTCTTTACCTGATTAAATGGTCGGAGCAAGGCGTATTCTACTTATTTCCGGGTGGATTCTTCACATTCCCTGGCTTGTAAAACAAAAGTAAGAGTATTAACGCAGTTTGAAAAGAAATAGTGAAACTTCTCAAAGTGTCCATCCTCAGTATTTGAAAAGAAACATTAAATACTATTATACAAATTTGATGTTGAAGAAATAATGCAAAGTGATCCATTTATCAAAAAACAGAATTACTACGACAAAGAGATGAGAAGGAAGTAAAGTTCCATTAATCCTCACTACACAGCCAATAAACTGATTCTATAAAAAAATCAAATTAATAGTGAAAAGATTTCTTCTTTCCACAAAAGAAGACTTAATACTTCATGTCGCTGTCATTGTTGGAGAAGAATTCCAGCTTTAGACTGAAGTTGTGCACGAGATTTTACACCTATGAGAATGCTTCCTGTAAGTACTCCGCTCCATGTATCACTCACACTAGGCGCCAATTCACAAAACGTTTACTGTGAAAAGAGGTTATAATAAGACCACACCCATTCTGCCTGGCTGTCATCAGGAACATATAATTAGGTCATGTCATCCGTGAGAAGTGATGTGGGAAACTTTCGACTGAAAAGTTCATGTGCTAAACGTTTAAGGCCTTACTTTCTTTCCTATGTGTGTTTAAGACTTTAATCCTGAAAACACATTAGTTAAGACCTGATTTACATCAAAGATCTGAGCTTCCCAGAGATGGCAATCTGAAACACATTAGGCTACAGCTGAGCGGGCAATGAGGCTGAGTCTGTAGTCTAGACTTGGTGCAGGTTTTCCTGGTTGCCTTCTCTCAGAGTTATCCATGGGCAGAGGGGGATGGGGAGTGAGAAAACAGGAACGTGTGACTAAACTTGTGATTTCACAGCATGGTTTCTAGGCAACTTTGGGGCTTACTGGACTGACTGAGAAATGGTCTATTAGTACAGTGATCATACATCCTGAGCCACTGTCCCAGCATAATTAATAGTGCTCCTTTCAAAAGTGTCCTGGTTTGGATGAAAATTATATGATCACTCTATTTTTCTACCACACCCACTTGATGGAGTTCTGGGGAACGTGGCCAAACGTTTTGCTTGGTGGATCATAATCAACACCCAGTTATGCCTGTCACTTTGAACGAAGCTCTACAGGACTCAGTGCCTGTGCAATCTGCCTCCTTCTCCAGAGCCACTTTCCCACTCACACATCACAACACAGCCCCCAGAGATCTTCTTGCTATTGCTTGAACTTGCCAAGCTCCTTCCTGGGACAAGACCTTCACTTGAATTGGTATTATGTTTTTGCTGTGTATATTCTCAACAACAAAAAACTTTTTTAAAAATGTACCCTTTGACCTAGATTGGAGCCCTGGCTGAACAGTGGTTAAAAGCCTGGCTGCTAACCAAAAGGTCAGCAGTTTAAATCTACCAGCCGCTCCTTGGAAACCCTATGGGGCAAGTTCTATTCTATCCTATAGGGTCACTATCAGTTGGAATCGACTCGATGGAAATGGGTTTGGATTGGTTTAAGGGTACGTTAGATAATCACGTCCAAAAATTGGGTCTGGCATAAAAAGTGTTGTCTCTACCTAAATATATTTTAGGTCAGAATTCCCCTAACATAATGCCTGCAAAGTACTTCTAATGATATTTTTATATATTCTACTCTCTATACTCACCAGCATCTCAACCTTAAAAATATAAAATGTTAAATTCGTAAGCTTTTTACCAGGATAAAAAAAAAGTTCACAAGCTTTTGCATCTTTCAGCCACTAAGAAAATGAGCACATAAAAAAACATTCTTTTGATTGAGGAAAACAACTCTGTTGCTAGGAAAATTTTCTTGTTTGGTTACATATCACTCATACTATAACAAAACATGACGGTCAAGTATCTCACTACAGAAATATTGAGTCCATCCACCCTATTAGCAAATCAGACCTCTCTGGCAGAGACTACCGTGATCTCAGAAAAAACAACATCTGACTTCAAAAGGCTGTTCCTGGTTTAGCACAAGCCAGAAATTAATTTTTTTTTACATTTTCAGACAGAGAAACAGTTTTATTAAAATATTTTATAACTCAATCATTCTCTTTCTAATCCAATTTTAAAGTCTATTTGGCTTTGGTTTTTAAATTATTCTCTTACCGCGTTCACAAGCATGAATTACAATTTCTGTTAGCAAAATTGATACAACATTTTTTAAAAATCAAAATGCTGATTTCTAATAGTACACACTGCCATGTGAGTGAGATTTCCAGCCAAACCTCTGAGGTATAGTAGCCCACTGAAATGCTCGAGTACCTCGCCAGTTGAATTATTTTGACCAATTACTTAAATTCTCTAAAATGCAGGTTCTTCATTTACAAAATGGGGTAATAATAGATTGTGCCTCATGGATTCTTCATGAGAATTAAATGAAATAACAGCATGAAGAGCTTAGCACACAGGGCCAAGTTCAAAGCAAGGGCTTGGCCAAGCTCATAGCAAGGGCAATAAAAGTTATTATATACAGAGGAGTACTGGTTGTGCAGTGGTTAAGCTTTCATCTGATAACCAAAAGGTCAGCAGTTCAAACCCACCAGCCGCTCCCTGGGAGAAAGACATGGCAGTCTGCTTCCATAAAGATTACAGCCTTGGAAACCCTATGGAGCAGTTCTATTCTGTCCTTTTGAAATCGACTCGGTGGCAACAGGTTTATCATATACAGCAGGTCTCTCAACTTTTTTGATGAGGAAATAAAAGGTAAGGATAAATGATCTACTAAAGAACCCAGTGAAATTCCAGTTCGCTGTATGTGATTGGCAGAATAATGGCCCCTCAAAGATGTCTGCATTCTAGTCCTGGAACTGTGACTGTGTTACCTTATATGGCAAAGGGGAACTAAGGTTGCTAATCAGCTGACCTTAAAATAGGGAGATTACTCCGGATTATCTGGGTGAGCCCAATGTAATCACATGAGTCCCTCAAGACTAAGAGGGAGACAGAAAAGGAGGTCAAGAGGTGGGACTTGAGAAGGACTCTACCCACTGTTGATGGCTTTGAAGATGGAGGAACAGAGCGATGAGCCAAGGAATGCTGTAGCCTCTAGAAGCTGGGAACGGCCCTCAGCTGACAGTCAACAAGAAAAGGGACCTTGGTCCTACAATAGCAAGGAACTAAATTCTGTCAACAACCTGTATGAGCAGGAAACTGGAGCCTCCAGAAAGGAATGCAGCCCTGCCTACACCTTAATTTAGTACTTGACTTCTGACCTATACAGCACTAAGATAGTAAATTTGTGTTGTTGTAAGCCATTAAGTTTGTGGTAATCTGTTACAGGAGCAATAGGAAATGAAAACACTCTTGACTAAGAGGTGTAAGCCTTATGACTCCATTTTCCATCAGCAGACCTTATCAGGCAGAAAGTGAAAATGGGCAGTGTCACATGAGCAGTGGTTGGGGGCTATCATGTGCTACAGTCTGTCTATTTTATGTGTTCCTCACATGGATAAACTCATTTAATCATCAAAACAGCCCCATGACGCCCTGCCCCATTTCCCAGAGCCCTGAGTAATTTCCGAAGGTTTCAAGGCTAGTAAGTACCCCAGGTCCAGAGTCCACTCTCTTAACCACCATGCCACGTTGAATCCCACCAGCCAATCTTTTCTGATACCAAACGTGTATGACTTTCTAAAGAGAAGGTGGTTGTTTTAAAATTACATAACTTACTTTCAGCCAAAATTGCGTGCTTTCAGAGAGCTCAGGAATTTTGAATAGAGGAAGAGAAAGCAGGGCATGTTTACTCAGGGTGGTGGCTGCTGCTTCCCTTTGTTTTCCTGCTGAGCCAGCAAGTGCCTGAATAAAACTATGAAAAGTTCAGCTTCTGAAGTTCTGCTCAGTTTTCATGTTGGTAACAGGTTTATGTTTTACATATTACATATAGAAGAGATTTTTTTGGTCTACTTTTTATTTTAATATATATATAACAAAACAGTTGCCAATTCAACAATTTTTACTTGCACAATTCAGTGACCTTGATTACACTCATCATGCTGTGCAACCATCACCTCTATCCCTTTCCAAATTATTCTACCACCAGGTTTGTTTCTTTATTTTCCTGTCCTTTAAAGAATTACTCTGATTTTTCTTTTTAGTTATTGTTGACCTTTAACAGTCATTCTACAATTCTTTGATAGTAACTTGTTACATTTTTTTAAAAACCTAGTGAAAAACTAAAACGTGACATTTACTGAGACACACTGCTTTGTACAGCTGATTATAAGATAGCTTTCAAAGAGTCAGCTGTGACCCTGAGGGCTGACATCCACTTCTGGCCTCCATCTCGGATACTCAGACCTTGGGCTGGGACTATTCTGAAAGGGTTTCAGATCAGCAATGAACAACCAATAAGTTTTACTAAGCTCCTCGAGTCAGTGAGAATCATAATGGAAAAGATCAACAAATTCAACTATATTAAAGACTTCTGATCATCAAAAGACACCAAAACTGAAAAGAAAAACCCCAAACTGGGAGAACACATCTGCAAACACACAACCAAAAATATTGTTGTTAGGTGCCATCGTTTTCAATCGCCTCGTATGCTTGTGAAAGCTGGACGATGAATAAGGAAGACCAAAGAAGAATTGACGCCTTTGAATTGTGGTGTTGGAGAAAAATACTGAATATACCATGGACTGTCAAAAGAACAAACAAATCTGCCTTGGAAGAAGTACAACCAGAATGCTCCTTAGAAGCAAGGATGGCGAGACTAACAACGTCTCACATACTTTGGACATGTTATCAGGAGGGATCAATTCCTGGAGAAGGACATCATGCTTGGTAAAGCAGAGGGTCATCGAAAAAGAGGAAGACCCTCAATGAGATGGACTGACACAGTGGCTGCAACAATGGGTTCAAGCATAATGATTGTGAGGATGGCGCAGGACCGGATAGTATTTTGTTATGTTGTACATAGGGTCGCTATGAGTCAGAACCGACTCGACGGCACCTAACAACAACAACAAGGTGCCATCAAGTTGGTTCTGACTCATAGCCACCCTAAGTACAAGAGAAT